AGTGGTTCAACCAGATGAGCAGGAGTTCTTTGTTTCTTAAGTCCTGTTAGTTTTGTCGTATCACCTAACATTTTGGATTTATCATCCACTTATCAGGGAGACCATGTACCGTTTGTCTCTTCGCTCTTGGCTTACCTCGCTCAACATGATTCCTTCTAGCTCCATCCATTTCCCTGCAAATGCCATTATTTTGCCAGGAGCTATGTTTTATTAGTGATCTTACTCAAGTGCTTTTTCTCCCTGAAGAACTGACCTTCAAGTCCCCATTTCTTCTGATCCAGTTTTTTCCTTGTTACAATTGACACCTGGCATCATTTGTAGGAGATTAATACAAATGTAGGTTTCTAGTTAAACTTCCAGAAGGTAAAATTTAATCTTTCCACTGGTGCACATTTATTCACTCACCAAAATGACCTAGCTGATCCCAGCTCCACTTCTGTAGGACGCTGGAGGAAAGGAAAAGTCATCTTTTGTAGAACCTTTGGGTCAGTGAAGGCCTGCAGAAACACAACAAACAAAATCAGGTAAGAAGCTGGGCACTGAGCCTCAATTCTGTAATCTTAGCTATTTGGAGTCAGAGATCAGGGGATTATAGGCCACAGTCCCCACCCCCACCCCAAAAAAAGCATCAAAGATTCCATCTCCACCAGTGGCCACAGGAAGAAGTATAAATAGGAGTCTTTCAATCCATGTCTACCCAGGTATAACCTGGGACCCTATCTCAAAAATAACCAAAAAAAGGATCTGGTAGCTTGGTTCAAGTAGTAGAGTACCTGCCTAGCAAGCTCTAGGTCCTGAGTTCAAACTCGAATACTACTACTACTACTACTTCTTCTTTTCCCTTTTTTTTTGTTTTCCTGGTCCAAGGGCTTGAATTTAGGGCCTAGGCACCGTCCCTGAGCTTCTTTTGCTCATGACTTGTGCTTTGCCACTTCAGCCACAGTTCCACTTTTGGATTTTTTGATAATTTATTGAAGCTAAGAGTCTCATGGACTTTCCTGCTCAGGCTGGCTTTGAACCATGATCCTCAGATCTCAGCCTCCTGAATAGCTAGGATTACAAGTGTAAGCCACCAGCACCTGTCCAACCCAATGCTGCTTTAAAAAAAATCAGATATGGGCTGGGAAGGTGGCTGAGTGGTAGAGCGCTTGCCTTGCATGCATGAGGCCCTGGGTTCGATTCCTCAACACCACATAAGCAAAAAAGAAAAAAAGCCGGAAGTGGCGCTGTGGCTCAAGTGGTAGAGCACTAGCCTTGAGCTGAAGAGCTGAGGGACAGTGCCCAGACCCAGAGTTCAGGTTCCACAACCAGACCCAAAAAAAAAAAATCAGATACAAGAATATTAGCCATTGTTAATAAGCATTTGTTCATTCTGGTACAGCATGATGAAGTTCAGTATATTTCTAGAAAATTTGCAAGTGTGTCTTTATAGAGGGAATGCTATAGAAGCACATATGTTCTCTACAATATTATTGAAGTGCAAATCATTCAAAAATTAATCATGAAAACTGCAATCAGAAAAAATCAGATACAAGAATATTAATTTTAAAAAGTAAACTCTAGCAGTAGGAATTTAGGATTCTAAAGTTCAACCATTTGCAAATACTGAAGTGAACAAGAGTTACATGGATATATTTCCCATTTTTAAAACTTACCCCAAAGCAAAGGAAATAGAAAAGTAAAAGCTGTTGGTCAGGTGTTATCTTATCCTTGACTTCATCCCATGCAAAGATTAAAATGATGCACTGGGTACTGATGGCTTGTACTCGTAATACTAGCTACCCAGGAGGCTGAGATCTGAGGGTGGAGATTCAAAGCCATCCTGGGCAGGAAAGTCCATGAGACTCTCATTTCCAGTTAACCACTAGAAAGCTGGAAATGGAGTTGTCGCTCAAGTAGAAGAGCACTAGCCTTAAGCAAAAAAGCGCAGGGACAGTGCCTAGGCCTTGAGTTCAAGCCCCAGTAATGGCAGGGGGAAAACACATATATATACACATACAATTCAAATTATCGTTTCCTTGTGTAAAAGGCAAAAATCTAGTAATGTTTTACATATATATGAAAGAAGTATGGGGGAAAATAGAGAAGAAAGAATCAAATTAACAGAAATAATAGCTAAGGAATTTATAAATATATTCACTTTAGAATATATGTATCCTGGTTTTTTTTTTGTCAGTCATGGGGCCTGAACTCTGGGCCTGGGCTCTATCCCCCCAGCTCTTCAGCTCACAGGTGAGTGCTGTACCACTTGAGCCACAGCACCGCTTCCTGTTTTCTGAGTGGTTTATTGGAGATAAGAGTCTCAGCGGACTTGCCAGCCCCAGGCTGGCTTTGAACCATAATCCTCAGATCTCAGCCTCCTGAGTAGCTAGAGCTACCGGCGCCGGCTTTATATGTATCCTTTCTATACATATAAATTTAAATTTTCAGATTAAAATTCTAATTTTTAATCTTAAAATGTTGTCATTTTTCAGAAAGCTCTAGCAATTGAAAGTTGACTTCCATGTGGATTTTCTTCCCTTTTATCTTTCAAATTTCATGTTTGAATCTTGGTTGCAGAAAATAATTCTTCTAGTAAAAGAAATGGCAAAGTTGGGCTGGGAAGGTGGCTCAGTGGTAGAGTGCTTGCCTTGCATGCCTGAGGCCCTGGGTTCGATTCCTCAGCACCACATAAGCAAAAAGAATAAAAAAAAAAGCCAGAGGTGGCACTGTGGCTCAAGTGGTAGAGCGCTAGCCTTGAGCTGAAGAGCTCAGGGACAGCGCCCAGGCCCAGAGTTCAGGCCCCACGACCAGACCCCCCAAAAAAAAAAAAAAGAAATGGCAAAGTCAAAGGCAGACTTGAACTGACACAGGAAAAGTAAAAGAGTTGGTTCCAGACACCTTGACCTTTGCATAGACACCGCATGACAAGCTGGTGGTGCTAGTTACCAGGCACTGGGAGGAAGGCACTTTGTCCAAGCTCAGCGCCTTACAGTGAACACGGATCTGCTTGGGTATTCATGACTCAGTGCTTGAAGCAAAGGATTAAAATGATTGTTCCCTGTGTGAAGATCTGGGGCCAATCACCAATCAAGTGATTACAGACAATTCCCCCTGCTCCCGTTCTACCTCACCCGGCAACACACTGGTAATAATTACGCACTGGTAATAAATTGCTTTCCCGGAGAACCCTTTCCTACAGGAAAAGGACACACTAGTCATATTAAAGAGAACATTCTGGTTTTCCTGACAACTGTATCAAATATTCCAAATTTAAAAGTTGTCATTCTTCTTGTATGTGGTGGTTCTGAGACTTGAACTCAGGGCCTGGGCGCTGTCCTTAGCTTCTTTACGCAAGGCAGGTAGGTACTCTACCATTAAACAGTACCATGGTTCCACTCTTGGCTTTTTAGTGGCTAGCTGGAGGTAAAAGTGTCATGGACTTTCCTGTCAGGGCTGACTTTGAACTTCAGTCTGTAGAATTCAGCCTCCTGAGTAGCTAGGATTACAGGCGTGAGCCACTGGTGCCTGCCTTAAACACATGTCTGTCATTTATTAAAACATTTAAGACTTTTGTTCATTGGTGTCTACACAATTACTATAGAATGCATACATGTACAGTTATCATTTCAGAGACTAAATCAGCCAATTTTATCTCATCACTTGCTTAGTTTACCCCTGGAAGATAGATCGGCTCTTAGTTTGCTATTGAATTATGGTCCTAAGTCTCCAGAACAAATTGATCACTGCAGCCATATATAGTAAACTCACCAAAGGGCCCCCCGGGAAATCACCTGCCCAAACCGCACCAGACAGCAGGAGGTGGCGGTTAGAAGCTTGAATTGGCTGTCAGACAGCCTGATGTGTTTCCCATTTGCTCCACTATGATATTAAAGGACCTGGGTTGAAACTCTCAAGGCAAACCTGGGTGGCTGTGGAGACAGAAGCACAAAATGAGAGGTCTTTAACACTAATTATCAAGGCAAACTTCTGAACATGTGTATGTGTGTGCTGATACTGGGAACTCAGGGCCCTACATTTTCACTTCATTGTTTTTTTTTTTTTTTTCTCAAAGCTGGCACTTTACCACTTGAGCCATAGCTCCACTACTGGCTTGTTGGTGGTTAGTTAGAGATAAGAGCTTCAGGGAAGCCAGGTGCTGGTGGCTCACTCCTGTAATACTAGCTACTCAGGAGGCTGAGACCTGAGGATGGCAGTTCAAAGCCAGCCCAGGCAGGAAAGTTCGTGAGACTCGTATCTCCAATAAACCACCAGAAAACTGGAAGTGAAGCGGTGGTTCAAGTGGTAGAGCGCTAGCCTTGAGCAGAAAAGCTCAGGGCCTGAGTTCAAGCCCCATGACCACCACCACTAACAACAATAACAACAAAAAGTCTCATGCATTTTCTGGGCTGACTTCAAACCATGATCTCATCCTCAAGTCTTAGCCCTGAGTAACTAAGATTACAGGCTGTTCCCTCTCCTCTGAGCCTTTCCCTTCCTTCTCCTGATCATCTCCTTCCCTCACAGCTGGGGCTTTTGATTTGCTCATCTTCCTTCCTTCCCCTTCTCACTTCTCCATTTCTCCACCAGTTCTGGAGCCAGCTCCTCCGCCTCCCCAGGTCTGGTCCCGCTGACCCGTCACTACCAGCAAGTTCCCCTGCATTCTAAGTCTGCGTTTTCTCATCCATCAACATAACTCATAGGGTTATTAGAAAACGAAATCAAGCCATGCCTGTGATCCTTGCTACTCAGGAGGCTGAGATTTGAGGATCCTAGTTCAAAGCCAGCCCAAGCAGGAAATTCCTCAAGACTCTCATCTCCAATTAAGCACCCAAAAGCCAAAAGTGGCCTAAGTGGTAGAGTGCTAGCCTTGAACAACAACAAAAGCACAGGGATAGCACTTAGGCCCTGAATTCAAGCCTCTGGAGTGGCACCAGAAAAGAAAAGGAAGGGAAGGAAGGGAAGGAAGGGAAGGAAGGGAAAGAGGGAAGGAGGGAGGGAAGGAAGGAAGGAAGGAGGGAAGGAAGGAAGGAAGGAAGGGAAAAGAAAAAGAAAAGAAGGATGGGAAGGGTCAGGAAAAGTTCACTGAATAATATACATTTAGGACAGGAACGGAGAGAGAAAGAGAGAAGACTGAAGGGCACTATTGGCTCATGCCTACAATACTATTCGGGAGGCTAAGATTTGAGGATTGAGGCTGGAAGTCAGCCTGGACAGTAAAGTCCATGAGACTCATCTCCTATTAACTACCAGAAAGGAGAGGGGGAGGGAGATGGGAGGAGAGGAGAGAGGAGAGGGGGGTGAGAAGCAAGGAAGAGAGAGAGGGGGAGAGAAAGAAAGAGGAAAGAAACAGAAAGCAGAAGAAAGGAGGGAGGAGGGAGGAAAAGAAAAGCAAGGCAAAGTAGGTTGGTTAGTTTTATTCCAAGGAGAGTGACAATTTCCAATTTGCTTCAGTAGTTTTATCTACTAAATGAAATTTTCCAATTAACACGTGAACAAAATCAAATACTCCTACAAGCAAACAGAGAGAGAGAGAGAGAGAGGAGAGAGAGACAGTCGGTGCCCAGGTAGGACAGGATGGATTAAGGGAGGTTGCTGGCAGTCGCTGCCAGTTGGTTCCCGTTCACTCCTTCGAGCAGCTGCCCCTGAGACACAGAGCTGTTCAGGGGCACAGGTGTAAAATCCTGAATTTCCTCCTCCCTTGCCAATATGCAACCCTCAGCCCCCAATTAACATCTCCTTCCAATTTCTTCTCCTTAGAGATGGTCTCACGTCTGGCGAAACAAAAAAAGAAATCAAACAATCTCAAAGGAACAGTTTTCCTGTTCTGGAAACAATATTCACCACCAAAAACCCATCCCCCATCCGGTCTGGTGGGCGTGAAACAGTGCACTCGGTCACCCCAGAAGCATGAATGAATGAAAGCAGACGATGCACTGGAGTTCAAACAGGTGGCCAAGAGGAAACCTCGAAAATCAAAATAAAACCAGCTACTACTAAAGTCAGGGACACCACCCACAAACTAAGAAGAAAGGGGCATTGATTTTCCTCCCTTTGGTAATCTATAGGCGATATTAATTGAATAAAATTTGAAATTTCAAATGGAAAAAAAAAAGTCTTATCGCTCATCCCCAACTCCCTTCTCCCCCAGATTACTTATATGTATAGAAATAATAGAGATTATTTGCTCAATCTCAACCGCACAGACGAAAACCGTACAACAAACCAGGAAATCTGGAAGAAAGCAAGAGAAATCAATCAGCCCCTTCATCTCTCCCCAAACCATGGACACATCTGTTTGGACTCACCTCACCCTGGAATGAATACCCTACCCCGGAGAAAGTTGAGAAACATCAGACCGCTTATCTGTTCCTGCCACTGCCACCGGACCAGACGGAAGAGGAAAAAACGCAACGCTAGTGCTGTAATAATCACACAGAAAACAAGTTGTGTCTCTAGGGGGCATTCTTGAAAACCTCAGCTCAACTCCGGGAAAATAAAATAAGCTTTTGACCACTTATCAGAACTGGAAGTTGCTAAGTAGCAACCGGAATCTCATTTTCAAAAAAAAAAAAAAATGACAAAGAGGAAGAAGATACAAGAAAAAAAAAATGCTACCAGTAAAGACTTGATGGAGAAAAAAAGCTCTCCTTAAATTTTAAAAATAAATATATTTTGTAATTAAAAAAAAAAGCTGAAAATAGCCGGGTGCTGGTGGCTCCCACCTGTAATCCTAGCTACTCAGGAGGCTGAGATATGAGGATCATGGTTGGAAGCCAACCCAGGCAGGAAAGTCCACAGTCCATAAGATTCTTTTTTTTTTTTTTTGGGTCCGGTTGTGGGGCCTGAACTCTGGGCCTGGGCACTGTCCCTCAGCTCTTCAGCTCAAGGCTAATGTTCTACCACTTGAGCCACAGCACCACTTCTGGCTTTTTTCTTTTTGCTTACGTGGTGCTGAGGAATTGAACCCAGGGCCTCAGGCATGCAAGGCAAGCGCTCTACCACTGAGCCACCTTCCCAGCCCCCATAAGATTCTTTATCTCCAATAAACTACTCAAAAAAGCTGGAAGTGGCACTGTGGTTCAAGTGGTAGAGCACTTGCCTTGAGCAAAAAAAACAACACAAAACTCAAGGGCAGCACCTAGACCAGCCCCAAAATAAATAAAAAGAATTCCAAAGGAAGGACTTAAACAATGGAGATCCACCAGCACTTCTTCCAGCCCTGAAGATGGGAATATCTTTGGGGCTCTCACCTGTGTTCCCCAAATGAGAGAATGTGCCAGATTTCTACATCACTGCAAGCTCTGCTAATGAACTGGTGAAAAAGCCAACCCCAAAGCTACATTTAACACATCAAGAAGGGCCAATATCTTTCACTTCAATGCAGAGGACGCAAGGAGTTAACCCTGATGATCCCAGAGAGCAAGTGCTCATGGGAAATGATGTTTTCCAGTCTGGGAATTGCTTTGAAAGGTTTTGATTTCCTACGTTGCAATGATATAGATACTTCACATTGTGTCTTTTTTATTTTTATTTTTTAAAGAAAGGAGAGCTTTACCTTTTAAACATGCCTAAACACATGTCAGGATTCTTTCCCCCCCCAGAAGTTGTGGTAGATTTGCCAGTGAAGCACTGAAATCAAGTATGAGTTTTGCTGATTTTTTTTTTTTTTTGGTTGGTCACGGGGCTTGAATACCAGGCCTGGGCACTGTCCCTCAGCTTTTCAGCTCAAAGCTAGCACTCTACCACTTGAGCTACCGCGCCACTTCCAGTTTCCTGGTGGTTAATTGGAGATAAGAGTTTCACAGCTTTTCCTGTCTGGGCTGGCTTTGAACCTCCACCCTCAATTCTCAGCCTCCTGAATAGCTAGGATTATAAGCGTGAGCCACCAGCGCCCGGCTGCTGTTTGACTTTGATATTCCTGTCCTGGTGCTTGAACTCAGGGCCTAGGCACAGTCTTAACTAGCTCAAGGCGAGTACTCTACCACTTGAGCCACAGCTCCATTTTAATTGGAGGTAACAATCTCATGGACTTTTCTTCCCTGGGCTGACTTTGAACCATGATCTTCAGATCTCAGCTTCCTAAGCAGCTGGGATTACAGACAAGAGCCACTGGAGCCCCACAGGAAACAAGTATGTTTTAATGCTGTCTCTGTAACCACAGCAAGTTGATCTCTAATGCTTTGTCAAGTCTGCTCTCTTGAAATATCCTGATACTGGGCTCTGAGATTTTTGCCGAGACAGAGAAAGTAAAAGAAAGCTTTTCCCTTCTAAAACTCCCCAGCAGCCAAAAACTCTAAGTTTCTGGAAACAAGACTGATAATATTCTTTTTTTGCAGGCGAAAGAGGACTGGCTGAGAAGAGGCCTCAATCTCTTTTAACATGTTTAAAACAAAGCCTGGAATCCTAGCTGCTCCAGAGGCTCAGACCTGAGGTTCACAGTTCCAAGCCAGCTCCTGTGGTTCAAAGCCAGCCCATACAGGAAAAGTCCATGAGACTCTTAGTTCCAATGCACCACCCAAAAGTCGGAAGTGGAGCTGCGGCGCAAGTGGCAGAGCACTAGCCTTGAGTGAAAATGCTAAGGCAAGCATCCGGGCCTTGAGTTCAAGACTCAGCACCAACACCAAAAAATTTTTTTTTAAAATTAAAAGACCAGAAGGAAGCTACCTTTACTAGTTATTTCAGTATACCATGAGAGAGAGAGAGAGAGTTCCTTCCAGAACCCTGGGAAATTGCTTTTCACCACCTTATTCCTTCTCCACTCACCGCCCCCCACCTTCTTACTTGAATCACACTCCTACGCCATCATGCCCTTTTCTCTTTTCCTGCCTGAAACCAACTCAATCTCCCCATTCAGCAAGGCCCGCCACAACTGCGGAAACACACGCATTCTCACCGTCTTGAGTGTTTTTTTTTAAAAAAAAGGAAAATACGGCTTTCAGATCTTTTGTGGCTCATGTCTTCTCTGCCACTTTTCCATGAGGGGCTGAGCTGAAGTTCACCAAGAGAACAGATTAAATCAATGCACCACCCCTAAATCCCTACGGGTCACTTCCTGTGGGGAACTGACCTTCTATGAAAGACAGTAGCTTTCCTTGCATTGACCAACAACATCAACAAAAAACGAAGCCCACTGTGGGCACTGTTTTGCCTTCTGTGGGATTTCCCATCCTCCAAAGAAGACTTTGAGTTGAATGTTACTTGTGACTCATCTAACTCACAAAAGGAGAATGACAAAGTATAAGCCTGAGACACTTGTAAGCTACAGATAGGGACCTAGACTTAGAATATACAAGTTTTCTCCTACTATTAAAGTTTCATCCCAGCACTGGTGGCTCAAGCCTGTAACCCCACCTTCTCAGGAGGCTGAGATCTGAGGATTGCAGTTCCAAGGCAACCCTTGCAAGAAAAGTCCATGAGACTCTTATCTCCAATTAACTACCAAAAACAAAAAAACTGGAAGTGGAGCTGTGGTTTAAGTAATAGAATGCCAATGTTGACCACAAACTCAGAGATAGGTCCCAGGCCCTGAGTTCAAGCTCCAGAACACAAAAATAAATAAAAATTCAGAGCTTAAAAGCAATTTAAGGGGCTGGGAAGGTGGCTCAGCGGTAGAGCGCTTGCCTTGCATGCATGAGGCCCTGGGTTCGATTCCTCAGTACCACATAAGCAAAAAGAAAAAAAGCCAGAAGTGGCTCAAGTGGTAGAGCTCTAGCCTTGAGCTGAAGAGCTGAGGGACAGCACCCAGGCCCAGAGTTCAGGCCCCATGACCGGACCCAAAAAACAACTTAAAGTAGCAGAAATGTAGTACATTAAAATTAAGCGGATGGGATTTTCATTTAGTTTTGCAGTACTCAGGTCTTACACCTGCTAGGCAGACATTCTACCACTTGCGCCATACCTCTAGCTCCAAATTGGTATGATATGTGTATGTAGACATGTCTGTGTGTAGACATACATGTGTGCATAGATATACAGGTAGGTCAATAGATAATAGGTAGTTAGATAACAAATAGGTAGGTAGGTAGATAAATAGTGGATAGGGATAGACAGACAGGCCTACCAAATTCCTGGATGTTAAATTCATCCTTGTGGACCAGCTCCTGATCATAATCCCGTCTCTTTGTCCGGGGTTCAGACATTAGCCATTATGTCACCTAGTGTTTCTCTCTGTGTAACCCCGCTCCCCCAAACAAGGTAATTCGCCTTTAACTTGCCCACTCGCATGCATTTCTGCACCATGTGTTCTAAAATTAGATGACCCAGCTTTCAACCAGACAGCTTTAACTCCAAGCCAGACAAGCAGCCTCCCTCTCTATGGCTGTCAATTCTCAGAGCTCACTTCCAAATGAACGTTCCCCCCAGCCAGAACTCAGTCCCACAATGGACTATTGGCACCAGAGACAGACAAACATCCCCCCGCTCTCCCCAAAGGAAAGACGCGGGCTCCCAGGGCAGTACAGTGCCTTCTTCACACATCGTAAGTACCCAGGAGAGTTGTCTGGCCTCTACTCTTTATAGATTGACATCATAAGTTCTTCCAGAAACACAAGCACTTACCAGAAAAGAGAGGAGAGGAACAATGGGTCCGGTCTGGATCGTTTCTTGGCATTTTAGAACCTTCAAGACACGCAAGCTCCTTGAACACTCCCTTATCCAGCTCCATTTTTTTTTTCTCCCTAGCAGGTTGCCATTCCAGCTTTTCAGAAGTTCTTCTCGTCCTCCCATGACCCTTTTCCGTGCAGCCGACAAGTCCACAGATGGGAAAACACTTTCCCCTTCTGTGATCCTAGGCAGAGTGTGCAAGCTCACGTTCAAGTGCCTGCTGTTCACCTGCAGAGTCAGACTCATACCGACCATACTCCCGTTATTTCTTCAGGACAGCCAGAGCCAAGTACCACACTGGGTCGGTTGAAAACAGCACACGTTGATCCTCTGAGTTTGGGAGGCCAGAAGTCCAAAAAATCAACCCACTGCTGGCGAAGTGGGTTCACTCAGGAGGTTCTGGGCAAGAACGTGCTCCAGACCTGTCATTATTGACTTCGGTTCGTTTTTCATAGTTCTCGACATCTGTCTGCTCTGCGGATGCATCTCTCCCTTTGTCCTCACTGGACACCTCTCCCTGAACATCTCCCTCAGTGCCATCACATGACTTCTTTGGAAGGCCACCAGTCATTGGATTTAGAGCCCATCCTGATCTAGTACAACCTCGTTGCCATCTGCAAAACAGAAAAAAAAAATAATGTTTACACACTCTGAAGTGCTGGGTAGCCATGAGCCTGGGGGTACACTACTGAATGCATACAAATGCCAAAGGAAATTCTAAGAAACAGCCAGTGCTAAAGTGACAGTGGTCCCCACCCCCTCAACTGTAGGGGACATGTGACAAGATATCCAACAGCTGTCTTACACACCTGGGCCTTTAACCCTGGTAGCTGAGTTCTAGGATCTCTACACATAACCATCCATTGAATTTCTGCACCTCTCTAATGAGGTCTATTTTCATTCCATACAGCCCCCAGAGAAAAAAATAGTCTAAGCCAGTGATAAACCATAATGTATATTTCTAGTGTATCACAATTAGGTTTTTTTTTTAAGTAGTAGTACTGAGCTCAGAGCTGGTGGCTCATGCCTATAATCCCAGCTACTCAGGAGGTTGAGATCTAGGGATCACTGTTGAAAACCAGTCCAGGCAAGAAAAGTCCCTGAGGCTCTTAT